TTATAGTTTTAAAATATTAATTTATTAATAATACTATTTCAAGTCAACTCAAGTCAAGTCGAGTTTGAGTCGAGTTTGAGTCAAGTTTAAATTGAGTCGAATTAAATATTTAACTCGACTCAAATTTGATTTGACTCGCAAATAATCAAATCAAAAAAATATAAACTCAACTTGATTTAAACTCAACTTAGCTTATCTGACTTGTGAGTTAACTTGACTCGTCTAGAACTCTAGTATTACTTCTATCAACATTTTTAAACTTAACAATTTATTTATCAAAAGAATTATTACAAGACAATACTCTCAATTCTTTTACATTGACAAACTACTCCTATTTATATTAAAATACATATGTACAATGATAAAATAAAGAAAATATATAAAATATATAAAACAATATAATGAATAAAATAATAAATATGAATAAAATAATTTAAATAAAATAAATGAATTAAATGAATTAAATGACATCAATAATGAATGATGTAATAAGGTCTATTTGCCATAATAAAATTAGACTACCAAAATTAGGAAATAAGAAATGCAGATCATTTATCTATCTGTAATACTACAAATCATTTTAATATTACATGAAATAGATCATTTTCGCATATTATTTTTAGGTGTAACAATAGATTAATATAAAGCAAAATTTTCAATTTTGGTGAAAAGGTCTTAGAGCCCCATTTTTCTATTTTATAAAATCTAAAATCTAACTAAGCTATTCTTTCTACAATTTTTTTAATTTTCGTTCAAAATTTTTTTTTCCTCACACATTAGCAGTATATCTTGTAACACGGTAACACGTAAAACTAATTGTAAACATGCAGTTTGTTATTCGACGCGGTACACGTGGTATAGACGTGACGCGTGCGGACAACCGGACTTCGCCACGTAACCTGATTAGTGCACAAACATTCATAAACATATATATATATAGTCCCTCGCTTCGCTCCAGACTAAAAAACAAAAAAAAAAAAATCTCACAAAAAAATTCACAAAATTCTTTTTTTTAAAAAAATGTATATTCCTGACGTTACAAAACAATACATCCATGTTCCTTGTCATTTACTGACAACTCTAAAATTAAACAGTATATATATGCTCAATTATCCAGTTTTTAAAACTGTAAAGCTTATCTTTCTAAGCGAATGCGAAAGTCCAAGCTTTTTGAAAAAGGATACGAATGATAAGAAAGAAAAGGAAAGAACTGGAAAACCGGTTGAGTAGCCGATATATTATGGCTCTCTCTCTAGGTCTCTTTTTGAGGAGGGGGAAATTTTTACATTTTGGTATAGAATTTGTATATAGATAATTATACCCCCATTTCACACTTTCATTCCATTTTTCATAGTATTATACATAGAAATATCTATTTTAGAAATCTGTATGTTAAAGTAACTCTAAAGGGCATAAAAATTACAACAACTGACGGCATTTTGGAGAAGAATTGTATATACTGTATATAGTTTATTAGCAAAGAGGTTGTTTCTGGGACAATTTGGACAGTAGAAACATAATAGGGACGGGACGAGACGATGAATGAATGAATTTTGGAAGGGAATTCACAATGCGTGCATTTATAGATAATTAGTTATAAGGATCACTTTATTTATCTTAATAAAAGATCTATTTAATAGTTTTATTCAAATAATAATTCAATCATTTTATAAAAAAAGCGCATAATCCTCGTATAACTAACCCTTTCAAGACGACCCCACACAACCTATAAAGATTAAATCATATATAAATATGTAGTGGAATTATACTTTCGGTGATTTAGGAATTTATTTTCCCGAGATGAAAAATCTTCGGTTAATCAAAAAGACTAGTTACGGGGACCATTTTAGGACTGAAGTGAAACTTTTCTAAACGATTTATCCCAATAAACGCAAGAGTTAGTTTCAAGCAACATTGATAATAAAGACAACTGATTTACAAGTCTATTTTTCACTGAAGAATTATTAAACAGATAGAAACTGAGAAGAAAAGATGAATATCTTACCAAAAAAATCGCTAGACGATATTTAACCCTATAAATTGAAGTTATATACCGTAAACGAGCGATTAGCCGCTGGACAATAGGTTCCATTAATGCATTTATAAACAATCTCAATATTATCCACGAACCTAAATGATTATAAAAAAGGTATCAGTAATATTACAATAGAATGGTTGCTGATCACTAACTAACCTTCGACCGTTAATGGACACTATATTACGACGGAAACATCTGTTCTATCTTTCCAAAATATCTATTGACTGTGGTCCATACGCATTAGCGAAAACGGGCATTCCGTATGCATTTTTAAGTTTCAACCAACACAACACCAGTTTATGTAGAGAACAAGCCTTGGTTGTTCTAGTCTGGAAAAAAAATTTTAGTCGTAAATGTCAACGCTTTGTATGTTTCCATTGATACAAGGATGCAAAAACGCGAAAAATATATATGATTTGGTTGATTTTGTTGTAATAAAATTTTTATGTTACAATATATATTTTTTTTTGTATCACTTAAAAATTTTTCTAATTTGATTAGCCCGTCTTATAATTTTTTTTAAAAAAAAAAGCGTATAATCCAAATTTTAACTAATAAAATCAATAAAATGGAATCAACAAGTCCAACTATGTCCCGTTGAATATCATCTCGCGTGTGAGAAAACGCTTCTTCATCTCGTATCGATAACATTTAAATAATTATTTTTTTCGTATTTTGTAGCTTATTTTTAATACTTGTGTTTATTTTCATCATGTTGCGAATTTAGTTGGAGAGAATTCCTCTCACAGGTTGGGTTAATCTGATAAAATTCACGGAACGAATCAAAGCCAAATATGAAGTTTAAAACGGTTATTTATCAATATACTTTTTTGACATCAAACAATAAAAAAATTCACGACTACATGAAAAATTAGCTCTTACAAAGATTTTATATAAATATCAATAGGACCGTGGTTAACGATATCGTACAAGCAATTCAAAGCAAGTTGGAGAAGAATTTATACGTAAAATACCAAAATTCGCTACGATTCTATAACATAATGACTCAATATAAAATACCTTGCTTTTACTTTCCCTCTAGTTGAAGAATAGTTCGTCATAATTTTATCTCTAGACCAAGTGTTTATTATCAAAATAACTTTTTCATAAACTTTATTTTCCTATTCTACCATCATTTTAAATAATAAAATCACTTAAATCGGTATAATGTTCGGTAGAAGTTGAACTAACAAAATTGAAAGGATTTAGATAAGATGAACCTATCATACCAAAATCAAAATTCAAAATGCATATATATACAAGTTCTCATTAAACACTATTATTATGAACCACATTGCAAAAACAATTTCAAGAAGCACAGTCATCCTAAGTTTAATAATTAATCTTGTCGCTTAAATTGAATGCCCACCAAAATCACAGAAACTTTCACAACGAACAGTTGGAAAAGTTGAGCCCTAATATCATGAATGTGCTGATCGGATTCGTTTTTTTAACTTCAGTAGAGAATTTCGCCAATGAATTCTTTCTGTTTATTTCTACCAAATTACGCTATCTTTGAGCTGATTTTTGATTTTTAACTAATACAATACATAGAGTGATTGGTCATAAATAGAAAATTTCGACGTAATGTTGAGAGAATAATAATAAATATAAATATAAATATAAATCTCAATTGCTCCAATTAATTATTTCGGTTTTTTAATCGTATTTGTTTTTTAATTTCCAACATCTAAATAATTAGGAAAAATGTAAATAAGTATATATAAATATATATATATTAAAAAAATATGTATCATATATATAGTATGAATAAATACTGATTTGGTTTCATTGGCTTTAACACGAATAGAAAGAGCAACTTTGACTTTCTGTTGAATTTCTTTGTAAGCTTTTCTATCACATTATTTAATTCTTCAATTCTCTTTCACTTTTTGCTAGAGAATTTGCGATTTAATCTTATCCATTTCCGCTCTTGGTTTGCCACTTAAGACTTGATAATTCGCTCATTTATTAAAACATGTTGATCTTTAACATGATCTATTTTAGCCTTTGAGCTCTAAGTTTATCACTCCAATTTCCAAAATTTTATCTTGCAAAATCTTAATCTTCTCTTTAAAAAGTTGTCTTTTCAACTCGTGTTAGATGAT